ACAGAGAAGGGCAACCAAACTGATAAGAGGCATGGAGGAGCTCAGCTATGAGGAAAGATTAGAGGAACTGAATTTATTCTCTCTTGAGAAGAGGAGATTAAGTGGGGATATGATCAACATGTATAAATACATCAGTGGTTCATATAGTGAACTCGGTGTAGAGCTATTCGCCCTGAGGTCATCACAGAGGACAAGGGGGCACTCTTTACATCTGGAGGAAAAGAGATTTAATCTCCCAATATGGAAAGGTTTCTTTACAGTAAGAGCTGTGAAAATGTGGAATAAACTCCCTCAAGAGTTGGTTCTGGCCAGCTCAGTGGATTGCTTTAAAAAAGGTCTGGATTCTTTCTTAGATACACAGAATATAACTGGATACTAACATTTATAGGTAAAGTTGATCCAGGGAATATTCAATTGCCTCTCGGGGGATCAGGAAGGAATTGTTTCCCCTGCAGGAGCAATGCTTGCTGGGTTTTATTTGCCTTCCTCTGGATCAATGGTGGGTATAAGTTTATAACTGTTTTTTTTTGGTTGAACTGAATGGACTTTTGTCTTTTTTCAGCCAGACTAACTATGTAACTATGTTTAGGGGCAGTTAACCGTCCCTCTCCTGGACACAGAAGAACCGCATTTAGGAGAGGAATGTTTTAGCCAAAAAAAAACGTATGGACATGTGTGTAAGTGCACCAAAGCACTACCCGTGTTTAGTGCTTGGGCATTTATTCATTTCAATGGCAAGTACTCTGCCCAATGAAATGAATAAATGCCCAAGCACTAAACACTGCTAAACAAGGATAAACCCAGTATTGGTTTTTCAGCAGAATTAGTGTTTTTCAGCAGTCAGGAGAGCTTGGCGTCCAAGGGAGCATAAGTGTACATGTAGCCTTAGTCTTCTGGGCTGAATGACACACAGAAAGACTGAGGACATCTATTGGCAAAAAGCTCTCACTGAAGAGACAGCTCCAGATGGGAGGTGAGTATTAAACCTCGATCACATGGGCGTACTTCAGCATACATCTGTGCAACGGCTTTGCACAGGTGTTCCATGTTTACCCGTGCAGGTAGTCCCATTCATGTCAATCGGAATGCATATACACACAGCTGCTGTTCCAAAAATGACAGCTGTGTAGACGGTGTGTGCATTCGGGGCCATGCATGCGCACCCACCAAGATGTCAGATTGGAAGCAGCGGCTGTGTCCTTGTAGCCACTGCATCCCATTTGACATTTATGAGACTGCCTGCATTCCCCATGTGGGCAAACATGACCCTCACATGGGTGTACACTGTAGTATGCCCATATGAAGGAGGCAAAGTGCGTTTTCTGTGAGAGTTGCCACACGCTTGGAAATGCGCAAATGGAAATGCAGCCTAAATGGCCATGCAAATGCGACACACGTTTACCATGCATTGAAAAAATGCATCCCAAAGTGAGCGCTTTCTGTAAGGGTTGCTGCGTGTTGGGAAACACGTAGGTGTGAATACAGCCTAAATGGCAATGCAAGTGCAGCACACATTCGCCATCAGTTTTCTGTAAGGGTTGCTGCACATTTGGAAACATGCAGATGCAAACTCAGCCTAAGTGGCAATGCATTCAGAAATGTGTGAAAAATGTGCAAAAAAAAAAACCCTGAACAGGAATGTACATTTCTGCTATGCTCAGGTGTGAATATGATGTGCTTGGGAGGAGAGTTTTTTAGGCAGCAAGGATGAGGGTTAGGGATAGGAGAGATGAGGGTTAAAAAAGAAAAAGAGCACTGATCTATCAAAGTCGCATAGGAATGCTTCTTCTATGCTGATGTAACTTCTGTCAGATGAGAAGTCTATGAGGCTGAAATCGCACTGGAACCTTTTCCAAAATTGCACTGTGCTGAGAAGGGCACCATTTAATGTATTGTGATTTCCCTTGTTAAGTGATTCTGTGAACCAGAGCTTGATGCACTTCCAATAGGTGTGTTGTGTTTTAGATGCAGTTTCCATTTATTTCAATGGAGGGATGCACTTTTGGTGCTTTTTTATTACTGCACCAAACATGCACCAAAAATGCAGCATGCAGGACTTGCAATGGACCTGCAACTGACCAGTGTGAAGGGTTCCATAGGATTTAAGTGTAGCACACCCTTGGGTGAAACTTGGCTAGATGTATAGGTTCAGCTCCCACCTGAATCTGGTGACACCTCCGATTATACCCAGAACACTTCAACACTCTGAGAATATTTTTTATGGGTTTTATTGAAGAAGACAAACCCTGAAAAAGAACTAGCTGATTTAACACAGTAATGTACATAAAACACAGATACCACTTTGCATAACACAGTAAGAAATCGCTCTTCACTCGCCAAAGACTCCCAAAACTGACTAGTATCACACTGACTAGAGTGACATATGAGAGTGACATTGACACATGAAACAATGACTGTTAATGAGGTTTAGCAGCTTATTGACATTTACTATAGCAGTACTATCTAAAGCAGAAATGTCCTACCTAACCACTGGCCAGTGGGATGAAACTTAAAGTCTTTCAACATTGGGGCCCTTTAATCAATGGAAGAGCGCTCACTCTCTGCATGGGAGAGTATTTGTAATCCAGGGGTAGCAGGATAGCACAGTCTCCTTTAAGCAGAATCTTCCAGTGAACATTGCAATAGGAAAAAACAACACTTCAACAAAATCTTTAACATACAGGTGAAATCCTGATATTCTGACACTTGCTCAGTATATTCAGAGCAGCAAGCTTCTGTGGGGACTTGGAACTAAACACACTCTTCAGCCACAGCACAAGTCTTGAGGAGACAAACCAGAAATATACAGAGACAGAGTTCTCTCATCAATCAGCAGCAGGAATAGCTAATTCTGAGCAGCTTGGGCTTTCAGAGATCTGTGTCACTCTGAGAATTAGAGAGCAGGCTTTCTCATGACCATTCTCCAGAGATGAACAGCAAATGCAGCAATATCAAAATCCCCTTTCATCACAAAGTAATCACTGTTTCTGGATTGTCCTCTAGATAGCATTAGACAGTAGTAGAAATCCTCCCTCTTACAGCAGCCCCAAACTCTGAGAGACACATGCACTTGAGTGGCTGTAATCCTTAGTGTCAGGCAGGACAAATCTTGGTTTACGCACTGTCCTCCTGCAACAATTCCTCTGCTACACACTCCCAGCCCAGCCCATGGGTTTTAGCATCACAGACAGTGAGACTCTGTGACTTTACACCAGGAGCCCTTGCTCCATGCGGAAAAATGTCTCCTTCCCCACATGTGCTTCTTCTTCCTTTTTCCTCTCTCGTTTCCTCCACAGCCAATCATAAGTTCAGCTGCAACAGTGCTGCTACAACCAATCAGAGCACAGTCCTGCTTTCCCTGTCTGTTACTCACAAAGAGGGAAAAGTAAAACAAAAAATGATTTGCAACCGCTGTTTAAAATTTAAAGCAACCAGCACATCTCTACATAAGGGTCATGCATTTTTCTTCTGCTTTTTTTTAACGCAAAGAAACAGAAGAAAAAATGGATTAGTATGAAGGTAGCCTAAGTGAGACACAACCAGCAATCGTATGTTAGGGACCTGGTTGGGGATATTGTCTCCTGTGCAATATATTTTGGTTTTTTCCTTTTCCTTATTTTGCTCTTTTTAACCTCTCTTTTTTTCTTTTCTTTTTCTTCTTGCTGTGTTTTTTATCTATGCTTTGTTAATTATTCTCCGATGTGTATTTTGGTTCCCCCCATTTCTTTTTTTGATGGTCTTGTTGTGTGTTATATGAAATTTACTGTAATTATAAAACTCATATGTGGCATGTGATGTGGTACTCTGGTTTGTACATCTAATGTTGACCAATTTATCTATGTAAGTGTGGATTCACACATGTGCAGTGCAAGTTGAAGCTCTGTTTTCACAGCTAGTTGACAAAGTAGTTGTTCAGCAGTTCAGGCAGGTTTAGAACAGGATCAGGAAAGAAAACTGACCTGAAATCGTGTTCACAAGCTCATGACATGTGTGGTTCAAAAGCAGTTCCCATAGAAGCCAATGAGCTTGTAATCTGCACCCGAACCCGACCACACTGCTCAGAAATTGGACAGGACTCTTTTTCAATTTGCACTGCCAGTACACCAGACATACAGTATGTGAAGAGGCACCATAGGAAGCAATGTTATTTCACATGTCAAGAGGATTGGATGCCGTTTTGCGGCAAAAACAAATATGTGTTTTTTACCGCATTTTTGAAGCATTTTTAATACGATTTTCACATGACTCAGAAACTGCAACAAAAACGCACGACAGATGCATTTTGCTGCATTTTCCATTGATTTCAGTTGGAAGGTACGTTTTTGATTCAGATTGTTACTGCACCAAAAACGAAGCAAGCAGGACTTTGAAAAATGCACCTCATCCGCAATGGATCAGTGTGAGGAGTTCAATAGGAATATGTGGTCATACGTCCGTTTTTGATAAAAAAAAAAGTAGAAGAAAACGGATCAGAGTGAAAACAGCCTAAGAATATGATACTTGTTGATTTGCATAAATAAAAAGTTAAAGAAACAAAAAAAGGAACCAGAAATCAGGCGCCAGGCCTCTGATGGTAATTGGAAGCAAGCGCAATTGAGGAAAATGTTGTGACTACACGTTATATGGATCATATATTAACCACTTACCTACCCCCCTATAGCAGATATACTGCTACAGGGCGGCCGTTCTGCACAAAATCACACACACATATATATATATATATATATATATATATATGTGATTTTGCAAGTCCAGGTAGGGGGCATGCAGATGTTAATCTCCGGGTTCCAGCCGGCGATTCTCGGCCAGTACTTAATTAGTGCTGTAAAAAGCTGAGAGGGGAGAGGTCTGTGTGTAAACAACACAGGTCTCTCTCCTGTCAGCGTGGACATGCTGCTTTCTCTCTCTCTGCACAGCAGAAACATGCAAAGCAGCATGTATCCCTAGTAAAACAGCACACAGTGTAAGCACAACACAACACACAGTTAACCCTTTGATCTCCCCAGATGTTAACCCCTTCCTGCCCCGTGCAAGTGCTTTTATTAGCACTGATCACTGTATCATTTTCACTGGAGATGTCAGTGGCTATTAGTCAGTTTCCCCCAGTGTCAGAATGCCGGGCGCAGTCCCGCAGTCCTGCTATAAGTAGCTGATCGCCACCATTACTAGTATAAAAAAATTAATAAATAAAAATTCCAGTATATATACCGCCATTTGTAGATGCTATAACTTTCACATAAACCAATTAACCACTTGCCCTCCAGAGCATTTACCCCCCTTCCTGGCCAGGACATTTTTTGCAATATGGCGCTACGTTACTTTAACTGACAATTGAGTGGTCATGCAACACTGCACCCAAATGAAATTTATGTCCTTTTTTTTCCACAAATGGAGCTTTCTTTCGGTGGTATTCAAATACCGTGCCACTGCGTTTTTAATTTTTTGTGCCGTAAACAAAAAAAGACCGACAATTTTGAAAAAAAACAAAAACAATATTTTTGACTTTTTGCTATTAATCAGTTCCCAACCGCGCTATAGCCGAAGGACAGCTACAGTGTGGTTGTGTAATCCTGGGACGACGTCCATGGAGGTCATACCAGAACACGCCCCCCTGCGTGCCCCCAGCGGTGCGCACCCTGCGCCGCCAGTGATTGCTGTGTCCTACGGACACAGCTGATAACGTGATATAGTAAACGGCTAATAATGGCGGCCTTTTACCACGTGATCAGCTGTGTCCAATAACACAGCAGATCACCGGGTAAATACAGTTACCGGTTATCGGCTGCACTTTCCTCATGCTGTCACAGCGTGAGGAAACTACTGCCGAGAACCGGCAATTGTCAGCGAAGGGATCGGCACTGAGCAGTGCCACCTATCAGTGCAGCCCAGCAGTGCCACCCATCAGTGCAGCATCATCAGTGCTGCCTATCAGTGCAGCATCATTAGTGCTACCTATCAATGCCGCCTATCAGTGCCTCCTATTAGTGCCCATCAGTGTTGCCTATCCGTGCCACCTCATCAGTGCCCACCAGTGCTGCCTATCAGTGCCCATCAGTGCTGTCTATCAGTGCAGCCTCATCAACGCACATCAGTGATGAAGAAAAATTACCTGTTTGCAAAATTTCATAATAGAAACAAAGAAAACCTTTTTTTTTTTCTTTTCAAACTTTTTGCTCTTTTTTTGTTTATAGCGCAAAAAATAAAACACCCAGTGGCAAATATATACCACCAAAAGAAAGCTCTATTTGTGTGAAAAAAAGTGTAAAAAATGTAATATGGGTACAATGTTGCATGACCGCGCAATTGACATTCAAATTGCGATAGCGCTGAAAGCTGAAAATTGACCTGGGAAGGAAGGGGGTATAATTGCTTGATAGGCAAGTGATTAACCTGCCCAGTGTCTTTAGTACAGTGTCAGTGCTTTTTATTAGCACTGATCACTGTATTGGTGTCACTGGGGATGTCAGTGACACCAAGTCAGTTCCCCCCAGTGTCAGAATGCCCGCCACAGTCCCGCAGATTGCCGCCATTACTAGTATAAAAAAAAAATACAGTATATATGCCGCCATTTGTAGACACTATAACTTTCACGTAAACCAATTATTTTACATGTATTGTGATTTTTTTTTAGCAAAGACATGGAGCAAAATACATTTGGCCTAAATTTATGCAGAGCCATACAAAGCAGTGTGCTGGAGCTGAGAGGGGAGAGATCTGTATTGTTTACATACAGAGCTCTCCCCCATCAGTGGTATATATATGGGATTTTGTGCAGCTGCACCACCCTGTAGCAGTATTTCTGCTATAGGGCGATGGGCAAGCAGTTCATTTACACGTATTGCAGAATAGCAGAATGTAGAGCAATACAAAGCAGCGTGCTTACACTTTTTAGCACTGATCACTGTATTAGTGTCACTGGGGATGTCAGTGACAGTTAGTCAGTTCTCCCCAGTGTCAGAATGTCGTCGCAGTCCTGCTATAAGTTGCTGATCGCCGCCATTACTAGTATAAAAAAAAATTCCAGTATATACTGTATACCACCATTAAACTTTCACATAAACCAATTAATTTACACTTATTGGGATTTTTTTTAGCAAAGACATGGCCTACATTTATGAATAAATTAAATTTTTAATTTTTTTTTATTGGATATGTTTTATAGGAAAAAGTCAAAAACATAGTTTTTTTTTCCAAAATTGACTGTCTTTTTTTGTTTATAGCACAAAAAATAAATGCATAGGTGATCAAATACCACCAAAAGAAAGGTCTATTTGTGGGGGAAAAAAGGACATAAATTTCATTTGGGTGCAGCATTGCATGACCGTGCAATCGTCAGTTAAAGTAACGCAGAGCCGTATCGCAAAAAATGTCCTGGTCAGGAAGGGGGGTAGATCCTCTGGCAGGTAATTAGTTAAAAAGGCTGAGGCTTTTTGTAAATTTTTATATTTCTTCTGTGAAGTCTCCTCTGACCTTGATTGTCATCCCTCCTAAATGATGATAAAATCTTCTCACCATCACATCCACGCTGTGCCTGTTTGGGTGTCCTCTGATTGATATCTTCTCTTGTATCTCAGTTAAGTTTTGAGGTTTAGTTTTTTGTTCTCAGAAGTGGAGTCATACTTTAACCGCCGTAGACATTTCCTGGCAGTAAACATTGTTCCTCCACTCTGCACGCTGGCTAATTGAGGGTTAATGCAGTGGGTGGTGAATGATGAAAATAGAGTTTAGTCTTGATCATTCACAGTTGTCGCTGACCACTCCCCCTTCTACAATAGCTACTTTGTCCTGCATAAGCGTAATATTTATTTTGGGGTGGGAGCTCCTTCGGCTCGTACTGCCTCATTCATTGCAAGTCTCCAGGCTTCACTTCTGCGTATTACCCAGAATGCGCTCTAACAGTCATCTTGGAGACAGAGGGTCTGATCCCTACTGAGCGGCAGACCCCAAGTGCAGCCTCACGTAGCCTTTTCAGAAACAATGTCACCAGGTTATGTAACACAGAAGATCAGAAGTCTCATACAAGCCAGAATATATCTTACAGCATAACAGCCTGAACCAATTTATTTGTTTCTTAAAGGTCTCTTTACATGGCTGTCACTAACAGCAACCCGTCAGCAATTCCCAAGGAAAAAAAACACAGTTTTTCATCACATTCACAAAAGCTTGTTTTAGATTTCAACAGCTCTTAAAATGTTATTAAACAAACAATGTAATATATGGCATCTTACCAATCCTTAGATGTGGTCGCTGCATTAGATTTCTTCTTTTTTAGGTTCCCCCCGTTTTTCCCTTGTGATCTAGCCAGTAACACACCTCCTGTATTATAGTGCCCCCACTCTGGGTGAATGAGCACAGGGGGCACCGTTGGATAGCAGGATTGTCACTCTCCGGGTAGAGTGTTAGATGGACTAGCAGATTTAAATACACTAACAAATTGAAGCCAAACACTAGATCACACTTTTTAATCAGTTGCAGCAAACAAGTTTTTTTTTCAATTTGGGTTTAAACTCCCTGGAGGTATTCCTGAGTGTAGCTCGGGGTAATGTTTCAGCACCACAAGCAGTAACCTCGAGTGATATCTTGCAGCATTGCTCCGGAATCTGTTCTTCTCTTACCTTGTCCTGCACTTCTGCGATGTCCCTCCTGCAGTGTCCCCGGCAATGTCCTCCAGCCGATGCTGGCATCTGTCTTCTGGGTTCTGTTCTGTGCGATGTTGGGACGTACGGGGGACGGAACTGGCGGGAAATTAAAAAATGTGAAAAAGTGACATGCACTAAATACACTAAAATCACATAGTAAAACATTGCTGTATCAAACCATTTCACATATATTTGTCCCTAGTGCTTTGTCCTGTGCCCTGCCTGCATTTTTACTGTTCTTTCTGTCTGGAAACTGAGAAAAGTCCATGGCGTCCAAAAAGCGTCCCTTTAGGTCAAAAGCGTTTTTAGACCAGCCAGAGAACAGCGATAGTAAATCAGAACCACTTGCAGAATTGAGTGATAATGATTCTTGGGGAAATTCGTCATCAGACACTGAAAACGATTTTGCGACTTTGCTCAGTGATGTGCCCACTTGGCGCTATATTTCAAATTTCAGTGTTTTTGGTTTGATTATATTATTGAATTAAATTTATTATATTATTATTTTTTATGATTATTTATTAAATTATAATTTATGATTTCATGTTTCAAATTTTAACATACCCGAAATGTTTACTAGACTCTTGTTCGGACAGATTTCAGTGAGTTATTCCTAAAAATTACAGGCCTACAATAAAGAAACAACATATTTCCATGCAAAAACATGTACCGCTTTGAGCACAGAAATATGGACATAATCAGACCGCTAGGGAGGCTGCAGGTTTACATGAATAAATAAAAGCTGATCATTGTAAGCTCCCCTGTCAGTGGTAAATGGTTTGTCTTAGCTCTGTAACCTGATACATCTGGAAAACAACTCGCTGTCTGGAAAAACAACAGACTAAGGCCGGCCATACATGGTTCGATTTCCAAACGATTTTTCATTTAAAAATCGGACCTAAGAATAATCAGCCAATTTTTGCTCTGTTAGTGGGGCAATGGCAATTTTCATGGTTCCTCCTCATTTCATTTATCAGACATGCTGAAAAATATGTGAAAAATTACCGATTTTCGAAATCATTGGTGGCACCATCGAATTACAGAACGAATGATGTTTTCGATTTTTGATCGAAAAATCATTTGGAATTCGACCCATGTATGGCCTGCTTTACTGGCTGGATGACAAGTGTTATTAAATATTATTACAGGTACTCATAAATTTACACAGCACTTTCAGCACAACACAATCTAAGGTCCCCAACTCACATTTACATAGATATACTAGGGCCACTTTAGACAGGAGCCAATTAACCTACCAGTATGTCTTTGGAGTGTGGGAGGAAACTGGAGTACCTGGAGGAAACCCACGCAAGCACAGGGAGAACATGCAAACTTCAGGCAGGTGGTGACGTAGTTGGGATTCAAACTGATGACCCTACTTATGCCAGGCAGAAGTGCTAACCATTTAGCCACTGTGCTGCATATAAAGGTGTAGCACACCCCCTAAAGAGCAGCTGATGATTTAAGTCCTATTTTTCCCTTAGAGCCCCCACAGCCAGGCACACGGCATTTTTGGCATTCTTCCTCTGGCTCAAAAGATCGGTCTAGGGGTTTCTTTTTGTGTTCTTATTGGGGAACAATGAATTTGGATTGGGATCCTAGGATACCCCAGAATCTGAAAACTGTACAATTTGAGGACTGCTTAACTTCTTGCTGTACCTGCACAAACTTATGGCTGCACTTACATAACTCCCGGCTGTACTACAAAATTTCTGTCTGCACTTGCACAAAATAATGTCCCACAGGATCTCTAGGCTCACTATGACCTGTATTCCTCCCAGAGTCTAAAAGCAACCCATTGTCACACTTGCAGCACTAGTGTCTTGTACTCAGTTATCCACAGGATCATTGGTTGCCTCCTGCCAATATCCACCAGTATCTTCTAGTGAGGGATATGTAGACTCACCAATATAACCCCAAAAAATCTGTGCTCAGAAAGAAAAGAATATTAATACTAAAACAAAAAGCAGCTGGACACTATACCCTGTGCCAGATATTCCAAACAATGTGTAAACAAGCAATGCAGTGTTAAAAAACAAACAAACTGATAATAAACAGTGAAATCCCACTCGTGAAAATTTATACAATAAGTGAAAAAAGATGATTACTTAAAGCTGAGTTCCACCCAAAAGGGGAAGTTCCGTTTTAAGTCTTTGTCCCCCACTCCCCATTAAGTATTGGCACCTTTGGGGAGCGGGTACCCGATTTTGACAGGTACCCGCTCCCACTTCCGCTGCGCTCGTCTAAGGCGATCTGAAGCGGAAGTTGTCCCCCCCCCCTCCCTCCCCATAGTCTTCTGGGACCTGTCACGTGGTGAAACCAGCCATGGTGAGGACACCGCTGGACCGAGGGACAGGTAAGTGACTGTATTTTAAAAGTCAGCAGCTGCAGTTTTTGTAGCAGCTGACGTTTTCTTTTTTTTCAGCTGGAACTCCGCTTTAATGTTTGAACGGTAATATATAGAGCCTGTAATGAAGATCAGATCAAATCAGTCCCAAATGCCGTGATTAAATCAAGAAACTTCCAAAGTAACCAGCGTGACACCATTCACTCGCATGCAAGGCTTACCGGAAGGATTGTGACCCCCTATTAAGAGTGGTCAAACAGCGCTCCTTAATAAGATATTGGTAACATCATGTGTAAAATGTCCTCCAAAGACAGCCCGAAAGGGTGATACAGAATGGTCTGAACCGCCTCCTAAATATTGGTTCCAGACTCTCCAATGAAGTCGGAACTCACAGCAAAGTACATGCAACAAAGAAATGGTCCACATAGTGTAAAACCGCCATCAGTGCTCCCTTAACCATTGGCCTACCCTCTTAAAGGAACCTCTACCACCATCACCATTGGTTACTGCAGCCCAGAATGAAGTTGCCCTTTTGCCAACAAGTGCTTCTGCTAACTTCTGACATGTTTCTGCCCAAGTCAAGTGCCACCTAAAGGGATATTGCTTGGCTTTCTTTCTTCCTTTCCTTGCATTCCCTTG